CGATCGCCGATCAGAGTAAATTCTTCATGGAAATGCAGATTTGTTTGATTTTTATCCAAATATCTTATTGTTTTTGAATCTGGTTTTTGCAGAATCGAGAAGATGACGAAGAACTACCCCACTGTTAGCGAGGAGTACAAGAAGCTTGTCGGGAAGGCCAAGAGGAAACTCAGAGGCATGATCGCCGAGAAGAACTGCGCTCCGCTCATGCTCCGTATAGCGTAAGTCAACGGGCGTTAGCTCTGTTTCTGTATCATGATTTTGGTTGTGTGATGTGAGATTGGTGATGTGGTCATGTGGTATCTTGTGGTGTACAGATGGCACTCTGCTGGTACCTTTGATGTGAAGACCAAGACCGGTGGCCCATTCGGGACTATGAAGCACCCTGCGGAGTTGGCACATGGCGCAAACAACGGTCTCGATATCGCTGTTAGGCTGCTGGAGCCAATCAAGGAGCAGTTCCCCACACTCTCTTACGCTGACTTCTACCAGGTATGTTTTGATCGGTTCGATCTTTTCATTTGATTTGGATTTAAGTATTTTGATACAGTTTTGGGTGGTTTGAATTGATTATTGGATTGATTTTGGGGTTATAACATGTAGCTGGCTGGTGTCGTTGCTGTTGAGGTTACTGGCGGACCTGAGATCCCCTTTCACCCAGGAAGAGAGGTCAGTGATAGATAATAATATAATACCTGTTTGGCTATTGACTAATTTCTTTTTGTATTAATAAGCTGCTGCTTGAGTGGTTGTCTGATTTTCAATTTTTTTTTTTCATTTTTCATTTTTTTTTTTTTGGTTTTTTTGCCTAATACAGTAATGTTATATTTCTAGTATATCAGTTATGAGTGTCTGTTTTCCAGTCCACTGGAGCGGACTGTAAAACAGGCGATTGGATAGGAAGGATTACAGCCAATATCAAGGAGCTCCCTCCCATTCAAGATTGTACAGTACTTTTTTTTCAATTTGTTATTATGCCTAAATCATATAGATTTGTTTTAATTTCTAAGCTCTTTTTATAATCGTCTTTTTTGTATGGGTATATTTTCCTCAAAATTAAAATGGATGTGAGAGAAATGCTGTTATTTCTGTAGTAGTTTTTGTTGTAGAAATTTGTAAATTCATTCATTTCAACATAATTTCGCATAAGTTATCAGAACAATTGGTCAAAATGATTATAAGAATTCTACTGAATACAGATAATATTTTGCCAATAATCAAATGATCCAAACTGTTTCTCCACTAATTGTGATATCTTCATTGTTCAAATGTCGTTTCTGTACTTAACTGATTTCACCCGTTACCTCTTTTAGGACAAACCTGAGCCACCTCCCGAGGGTCGTCTTCCTGATGCCACCCTGGGTTAGTTCTTGTTACTATTGGTAGTAATCAAAGACTCTTGGGCTTTAAAATGATTTGGATTCAATCTCTTGCAAAAATTCTTGCAGGTTGTGACCATCTGAGACAGGTTTTTAGTGTTCAAATGGGGCTCAGCGACCAGGATATTGTTACTCTTTCTGGTGGCCACACTCTGGTTTGAGTCAATCTCGTAGCATAATAATTTTTGTTTTAAATATTAGAATTTGCTTCTCTCACTCTTTTGACATACACTCTATCCTTGTAGGGAAGGTGCCACAAGGAGAGGTCTGGATTCGAGGGACCATGGACTTCCAACCCTCTCATTTTTGACAACTCTTACTTCAAGTGAGCCCTCATCTACTTCTTTTATAGTTGACAAGTGATTTGTGTTGGTTCTTCTTTCAGGCTGCATATTGTCATATGTATTGGTTGCATCAGTCTTTTAAGTCAAATAATTGTTGTTTTTGTTTTAGGGAACTCTTGAGTGGGGAGAAGGAAGGCCTCCTACAGTTGCCATCTGACAAGGCCCTACTAGATGATCCTGTTTTCCGTCCTTTGGTTGAGAAATATGCTCAGGTAAGTCACTGGTTTTTATGTTAATGCCTATAGTCTAGATTTGGCATTGGTACTCTGGTAACCTTTTGTAATTTCCTTCACCTGCAGGATGAGGATGCCTTCTTTGCTGATTATGCTGAATCTCACCTGAAGCTCTCTGAGCTGGGGTAAGTTCGTTTCTCATTTCAACCATTAAAAATTGGTTTCTCATTTCAATTATAAGTAATGATTGTTTGCCTTTACCTTCGCAAATTGTGATGATTGCATATTTCTCGCCCCGCAGGTTCGCTGAAGCATAAACTTATCACATGCGTTCGGATGATGCTAGCTACTTTTGGTGCTTGTTCATGGTTAATTTTAAGTGTTTGGATTTTCTTTTATTTTGTTGGGCAAAACTTGATGAAATCGAAATTGTAAGGTATCATGTTGGTTATCACTTATCACCCTTTTGTGGTAAATAATAATATCATTTCTTTTTAATGAACATCTAGCTCGGTTTAAATATTATCATATATATGGGTAATTTATCTTATATGACGAGACTCAATCCTGAACTGAGAATATATTCCTATCAGGTTGATGAATCAACACATAAATTTTATTTTACACTGGTTTTTCTTGGCACGGGATCTTTGCAACACAAGTCTATCTCTCACTGGGGAATTTTTTCCTCAGCATCTCTTTCGACAGTCCGTGTCCCATTATCTATTGTTGCGTGTATGGCTGTAAAAGAAACTAGTAGTTCTTAAACTGCTGGATTTAAGGTAGGCTTAAGTTTGGTTTGTTTGTTGCAAGATTCTAGCTCGGGTTCATTTTTAAGTTTGATAAATAATTTGGTTATTTATC